AGCTGGGCATGGTGGCGAGTGCCTGTAATCCCAGCTACTCAGGAGGCTGAGGCAGGAGAATTGCCTGAACCCAGGAGGCGGAGGTTGCGGTGAGCCGAGATCGTGCCATTGCACTCCAGCCTGGGTAACAAGAGCGAAACTCCGTCTCAAAAAAAAAATAAAATAAATAAAGATGTCTTCTGTCCCTCTAAGTCTAGGTGAATTCTAGAGTTTTTCTTTCTAGTCCAAAACAGTGATTCTCTCTGCTCCATGACACGTCAGTAATCCTAAGTATATCTTTGGCACCTGATAGCAGCATTGCTGTTATTACATGATTGTGCTATTATTACAAGATGTTCCATGATATCTTTCCTCTTTATTGGGGTGGGATGTTTTTCATTGGGATGTTACCAGTGAAAAACTGCAAAAATGTGACCTGCTTTTAATTTTGATGAAATACATCAGTCATGCTGTATGTCATAAGTTCATGGTCATAAAGTAACTCACCAAAATTTAATTCTAAATGAATTTACTATTTACTCTTTTTCAGCAAATTACCCAAAGCCCCCAAATGTCTAAAAGTCAATATTATGTTTAGTCTGATGAGAAGAAAGTTTTGTTTTGAATGGAAAAGTACTAAGACATGTTTTTGAATATGCTTATAAATGATTTATTTTGCAGTTATTTATTCTTGCCTATTTTTTAATGAATTCTTTTCACTTTTTTGTCTGATTTCTCTGGTTTTTAGGGCAACCCAGTGGGACAGAGTGGCCTTGGAATGGCCTACCTCTACGGGAGAGGGGTTCAAGTTGTAAGTGTTCAGTCCGACGTTCTGACTTTAATGAGCAGTTGGCTGGAGAGGTAGGGACGTGTTCCTTAATTAGCTTCCAGTCAGCCGAGGTGGTGCTGTTCCATTGTAAGCAAAGCTGAACCTCTTCCTGTTGTCTGAGTTTGTCTCACTATCACTTCACACCCGACAGACACCACTGTCTTAGAACAGCTCTGTGTCTGGCACTTTCTCCCAAAGGTATGGAGCTGTTTCTTGTTCTTCCATCTCTGCTCTCTGCCCCACCTACTATAACCCTTTCTCAGGACTTAAAACATCTCCTTGCCTACTTTTTTACTCAAGCCTGAAAAAATGCACAATTGCCTTTCATTTAGGAGGAGGAAAGCTTTCTATTCTGCCCTTTGTCCCCTCTAGCTACCATCTCTCTCCTCCCAGCCCTTCACTCGGAGCCAAACTAAGCTGCTATTCACTCTTGAGTTCTTAGCAATCAAACTACTTCTTTATGGAACTATACTCTGTACAGATCACCAGTAACCTCCTAAATGTTAGTCCAATTGACATTTTTTTGGTTCCGCCTCACTTGACTTCTCCCTTGCCTTATGTTCTGAGTCTGGGTTTCCTTGGCCATTGCATCTTATCCTTCTGTGCAACCTCCTCATGTTGGATGTCCCTGGATTCACGTTGCTGTTTTCTTTCTATATGATCTTTTCAAGTAATATGTCCTTTTAATTTGAGGCTGAATCTAAGATCTGTAGGTATTCTCTAACACGAAAGACAGTAACGTGTTCTCATTTTGAGGCCTTCTAGTCATTCTAGAACACTAAAATTCAGTAGTAACCTTTATTTTAACTTTTCTCCTTGAAGTATAATAATCATGTAGTGATTGGTAAGGTACACAGGGAAGAAATGAATAAGGAAAGAAGTTTCCTTCTTTAGTATTGGGAAAATTGAGGTTTAAAAAGGGTTAATGGGTCAGCAGAGAAGACCGACTTTCTTAATTCTTGGTTCTACTAGTGTTTGTACTTTCTGAAAGCAGCATACAAATTGCTTTTCTTCACCACCTTAAATATTAATCCCCCTATGACTTAAAGTATATTGTTATCTATTATAAGAATTAGAAGGTAGTCTTTTTAATGACTTATCAGAAATATTTTTTGTATGCTTTGTTCATTCCTTTTAGTAGATCTCCTAACTTTTGAGTATGTCAGCCTTTTGAGCTACTCATCATATGACATCTTTTTCTACAGAATTATGATCTAGCCCTGAAGTATTTCCAGAAAGCTGCTGAACAAGGCTGGGTGGATGGGCAACTACAGCTTGGTTCCATGTACTATAGTAAGTAACACTGGAATTAATAATGGATACACCCTAAATTAAGCTGCTTTCCACTAGATGGCATTATGATATGGAAATGGGTGTTACCAAATTCTGGCTGGTTAAATGTTCTCCCAGGTCTATGATTTGTACGTTTTTTTTTTTTTTTTTCATTGTAAATTGTATTAATCTGTATCAATATGTTAATTTGAATTAGATTCACATATTTAGTAAGAATTCTTTCATTAGAGTTTTATTCCTCATTTATAAAGCTTCTCTGATACTTAGCTAAATCTTACTTAGGTCTGTTAGCTCATGTGATTTTTTTTTTCTTACAGATGGCATTGGAGTCAAGAGAGATTACAAACAGGCCTTAAAGTATTTTAATTTAGCTTCTCAGGGAGGCCATATCTTGGCTTTCTATAACCTAGCCCAGATGCATGCCAGTGGCACAGGTGTGATGCGATCATGTCACACTGCAGTGGAGGTACAGTCTTTTCTACCAGCTTGTGTATAGGGAGTTGATTTGCTCAACAGGAAGGTCTACGCATTTAATCCTGGTTTTCTTTGTTTTCTTCTATAATTCTAGACTCAGCCTCCCTAGCTTTGATATACTCAGGGAAGACTGAGGGATCTGTAACTATTTAGTCTCTCCCTATTATTTAGTCTCTCCCTGAAAAGTATCAACTATACAAGGGGAGATAGTGGTGTCTGCAGCATCTCTACCACCTAAGACAATATCTGATAATAATCAGGATCAAAAAAATATATGGGCTGGGCACAATGGCACATGCCTGTAATCCCAGCTACTTAGGAGGTTGAGGTGGATGATGGCTTGAGCCCAGGAGTTCGAGACCAACCTGGACAACATAGCAAGAGCCTATCTCTTTAAAAAAAAAAGAAAAGAAAAGAAAAAAAGAGAAGTGTACATTGAACGAATGTTCCAAAAAGGAATACCAATAGCTCCTAATTGGAAATTTTCCTCTTAGCTCTCTCAGACCTGGCACTTTAGAGTGACATTGATAAATGCTTAGCAAAGTTTCTAAATCTCTGTGCTTTAGTTTACTCACTTGTGGCTGTTAACAGGACTTAACCCATAGGGTGGTCCCTCATGAACCTCATGGGAGGTTTTAAGAATGGCGGTACACACAGATCGTTAGAACCTTGCCTGGGCAGAGTAACTGGTGATTTTTATAGCACAATAATTATGTACTGTTAACTTTTTTTTATAAACCTGTTGACTACTAAAGAGTAAGTGAAAACTTTAAATAAGTATCTCATACTTCTATGTCTATTCAAGAAAGCTGCCAGAAATTGAAAGAGCAAGCTTAATAGGAACTTGTAGCCAAAGTACATAAGTGATTTTCTGCTATATGTTTCTTATTTTGTTTTACTGATTTTTTTTCCCCATCTCACACAGTTGTTTAAGAATGTATGTGAACGAGGACGTTGGTCTGAACGGCTTATGACTGCCTATAACAGCTATAAAGATGGCGATTACAATGCTGCAGTGATCCAGTACCTCCTTCTGGCTGAACAGGGCTATGAAGTGGCACAAAGCAATGCAGCCTTCATTCTTGATCAGAGTAAGGTTCATTTTAGTCCCGCCTTAGGTTTAGAATGTACAAGTTCACATCGGGTTAATCTGTTCAAAACGAAAAGCCACTAGGAAACAATTGTTGTTATAACTGAAACTGAACACACATGCTTAAGTTATTAATATTTTACTTTAGCCATCATAGTTAGTTTTATAACTAGATATGACTGTAGAAATGGATTTGACATTCATTTTAAAATTAAGCACTTTCCATAAATACATTTTTCAAAATACAGTGGATATAAAAGTGCCATTTTTCCAACACTGTGCAGAAAAGTGGCTCAGTAGTCTCAATGGTTCTATAAATAAAACATGTTTCACAAAGCAGTGACCTCTTGCATCCAGCCATTGCTTTGAACCCACTATTCTAGTTCAATAATTGTTTAATTTCAGTACTTGTTCAATTCTTCTTATATCCTAATTCTTGTTTAACTTATGCTCCACCTGTCCTCCCTACTTTGCAAATGAAAAGTAAGTCTAGTGCCTTTTCTTAAATGCCTGATTTTATTTTGTTTCTTTTTCTGTAGGAGAAGCAACCATTGTAGGTGAGAATGAAACTTATCCCAGAGCTTTGCTACATTGGAACAGGGCTGCCTCTCAAGGTGAGTGATAATTCAAGGTTAAGAGTTTCACTCAAGGACCTCCCTATGTTGTTTATCTCCCATGAACATTAAATCATGTCATTCATCACCTTTAAATTAAGTAGAGCCTGGGTGTAGTGGCTCATGCCTGTAATCCTAGCACTTTGGGAGGACAAGGCAGGAGAATCACTTGAGGTCAGGAGTTCGAAACCAGCCTGGCCAACATAGTGAAACCCTGTCTCTACTAAAAATACAAAAAAAAAATTAGCCGGGCTCCTGTAATTCCAGCTACTCAGGAGGCTGAGACAGGAGAATCACTTGAACCCAGGAGGCAGAGGTTACAGTGAGCCAAGATCACGCCACTGCACTCCAGCCTGGGTGACAGAGCGAGACTCCATCTCAAAAAAATATAATAATTAATTAAGCAGAGAGATACTGTGAATTAATTTGTTTGCATATTATTGGTATTTATTCTTAATATAGAAGTTTCTAGAGCCAGAGTTTCTAAATTGGATTGTAAAGACTTGGTACTACCCATTTCCATCAAGCTATGATTCACTCTGGTTTCTAGTTTGAGGCCAGTATACTGTGTGAAATGGGAATTAAATAGAATATATGATAGAACGTTAGTCTGAAACCTGAAAGACTGTAACTTTTACCTCACTCTTTTTTTCTTTTGAATATTTATTTTTTATACATGTTTCTCTGCCTGTTCCTTCTCCAAGCCTAAATGGTCAAGCTGGACATTTTTTTTTTTTTTTTTTTTTTTTTTTTTTTGAGACGGGCTCTTGCTCCGTCGCCCAGCTGGAGTGCAGTGGCATGATTTTGGCTCACCACAACCTCCGCCGCTTGGGTTCAAGTGATTCTCCTGCCTCAGCCTCCGGAGTAGCTGGGACTACAGGCACAAGCCACACGCCTGGCTTATTTTTTATATTTTAGTAGAGACGGGTTTCACCTTGTTAGCCAGGATGATCTCAATCTCCTAACCTCATGATCCGCCTGCCTCGGCCTCCCAAAGTGCTGGGATTACAGGCATGAACCACTGCCCCAGCCGAAGCTGGACTATTTTAAAATGTAAATAACTTGATAAAATAGGAGCCTGATTATTTACTTAGGAGTGTTAGTGAAAGGAGGGAGTACAGCTTGAGTATCCCTTATCTGAAATGCTTAGGACCAGAGTGTTTCAGATTTCAGATTTTTTTTTTTGTTTTTGTGTGTGTGTGTATTTGGAATATTTGCGCATGTTGTTTAAGCATCCTTAATCCGAAATCTGAAATGCTCCAGTGACCATTTCCTTTGAACATGACTTTGAACGTCAAGTTTCAGGTTTGGGGGCATTTCAGATTTCAAATTTTTGAATTAGGGATATTGAACCTGTCTGTCCCCCAACACACACCAACTTGGTTTTACAAAACTCTCTCTATTCCAAAGCCTGCAGAAGAGCTACACTTCTAGTTTAAATCTGCACTGGATTTTATAACTTGGCTGAAAGGATTTGTTACAAAGTTTGTGTACTACAAATTAAAAGTCTTTGTTTTATGTAAGCATGCTAACAGGAGGAAAGAAAAATTTGGTCTGTTTTAAACATTATTTATTGGCAGTTTTGCATTTAACTTTTGTTTAAGGCTATACTGTGGCTAGAATTAAGCTTGGAGACTACCATTTCTATGGATTTGGCACCGATGTAGACTATGAAACTGCATTTATTCATTACCGTCTGGCTTCTGAGCAGCAGCACAGTGCACAAGCTATGTTTAATCTGGGATATATGCATGAGAAAGGACTGGGCATTAAACAGGTGAGTGTAGCTTCCAAACACGTTTGAATAATATAATTGTGATTGGGGAAAACACTTGCATTTGTATAAAAAATAGACTTTCCTTGACATTCAGTTGGATTTCAGGCCACTAAATTATGGGACTGATTTGTAATATTTCAGAAGACTGCCCTTCCATCTCTCATCTTCCAGGACACACAGAGACACACAGATATTACCATCCAAGCTGTTCTGTTTAGGGATTAAGCTGAAAACAGACTCATGAAAATGGAAGTGCCGTGCTGCCTCTGCTGATTACTACTTGTTTGAGAAACTATCTGTCAATCTTCAGCCAAATTCTATTATTTCTAAATTATTTTGAAATGAATTAAATGTATTCTACTGATAAATTTATTTCTGATTCTTAACACTTTCCTAACGAAGTCTGACATTCTCTGGACTCATGACTTAAGGTTTTGCCTATGTTTCCCCACAAAGGGGGAAAAACTACAGACCCCCTTGTGCATTTTTAAGTTGGCATTTAAGTTTTTTCTTAGGTTTCAAAGGCTCTAAATTCTAGCTATTTTAAGCATTAACATTTTTAAGTAAAATTATTTACACTTAAAATATCCAGTAGAATCTGAATAACAATAATACCCACTCATTATTAATTTCTTTTAGAAATATACAAGCAAGTGCTTTAATTGAAAGTTATGGCTTTTCCTGTTTCCCTAAATTTATATTTTCTACCACAACTTCTGTAGAATGTAATACTAATGTATTGTTTTTAATGCTTAGTTTTTTTATTGATCACTCTATCGTACTTACCTGAAACAAATATATAAATTCATTTTGAATTTTATTAACAGCGATCTAAGTGTTAAGAAAAGTTCATGAGATATTACTAGTCACAGTTGATCACTTAATACATTGTTGATCAAATCTACAAAATATGTTTTGATAAAACTTTGCTTTTATATTAGTAATTGAAAATGCAATGGGCCAGGGACAGTGGCTCACACCTGTAATCCCAGCACTTTGGGAGGCTGAAGTGGGTGGATCATGAGGTCAAAGAGATTGAGACCATCCTGGCCAACATGGTGAAACCCCGTCTCTGCTAAAAAGACAAAAGTTAGCTGGGCATGGTGGCACGCACCTGTAGTCCCAGCTACTCTGGAGGCTGAGGCAGGAGAATCACTTGCAGAAAGCTGAGATTGCACCACTGCGCTTAAGTCTGCAGAGCAAGACTCTGTCACAAAAAAAGAGAAAATGCATTTCTTAATGAGATAAATGGAGTATTTGTTAAAAATTATTGAGCAGATTTAGCATTAATTCTGTTTTTCATTTTTTGAAATGTATGACTAGAATGTTGTTCACATAAATACGTATATGAAAATGAGAAGAGTTTCAATATAGCATGGTCACATAGTTCTTTAAACTGCCTTAACAGTTAGATGGCAATAATCAGAGTAACTTGTCATTAGAAATTATTCCTAATGATTAATCCCCTAACCACTTGATTAGGTCCCTCTTCAGTTGCATTGAAAGCAAAGAATTAGAAACCGAAAACTTGTGAAAGCATGTGTTCCCTGACACTGGAGCCTTTCACTTTTCCCTTTTTCTAGGAAAGAGTATTGAAAAGGCTTTACCAAGACTGATGAGATGGACTGTTAATTATACTCCTTCCTGTGCCACTTAGAGGCCCTTTGTTGACCTAAATGCTTAGGGATTGAGGGAAAGTTAAGTTCATTTTTGCTAATTCGCTATTTTCTTTACAAAATACTGCTGCTTTGTTCACATTTGGACATTTTATTTTAATTTCAGTATGTAAATGTTTATATTTTAAACTTACTTTAGTATTTAGAATATTACTAATATTAGATACTTAAATATAATTCAGTCAAGGCTCGGGAGCTGCAGACTCAGTACATTCAACTTCTGGAAGGTCTCTGCCACTTAATGGAGGAATTGAAGCCTCTCTTTATTATCAAACCAGTCATCCAGTGTCCCATATTAGACTTAGCTTCTATCAGAAAGGCTGACAGGTTTTTTTTCTTTTTTTTTTTTTTTTTTATGGAGATGGGGTACCATTATGTTCCTTAGGTTTGTCTCAATTTCCTGGGGACTCAAATCCCTCGGCCTGCAAAAAGTGCTGAGATTGCAGGTGTGAGCCACTACACCTAGCTGACCCTTTTTAATTCAAGTGAAGTTTAACATAACTAATACAAAGATCATATATAAGTTATGGCTTTCATGGAGTACATCTAGTAATACTATACTGACTGCAGATGAAAATGCTATGACTAATAATCTGTTTTTGTAATAGGTTATAAAACAAGAAAATTTGCTCCTTTAATTTAATTTGTAATACAATGTATAGCTAACAATATAAATTCTTGTAAATAAAGATATAATAAAAGGCATAGTATTCCTCTGATAAGAGTAGAGGGAGGGAAGTTGTGTTTAGCTTTTGAGAATAAATAATCATGTATAAAAATCAGTACTCCATTACTTTTTGTAAGACACCAGGATCACGTTTTCTGTTTTTTGTTTGTTTGTTTGTTTGTTTGTTTGTTTTTAAAAACAGGGTTTCACCATGTTGGCCAGGCTGGTCTTGAACTCCTAACCTCAGGTGATCCACCCTCCTCGGCCTCCCAAAGTGCTGAGATTACAGGCGTGAGCCACCACGCCCAGCCTACATTTTCTGTTTTTTTTTTTTTTTTTTTTTGAAGTTTAAAATATTCATGCTACTAATACTAAAAACAATCAATCTAGCATTTAACATAGGAAAATATTAAATAATATGAAGATTGACTATTGGAAAAAAATTACATTATTTGTTAAATTTTAATTACACATTATTGAATCTATTTAATGACCCTAGTGAATCATCCACAGAGTGTGTATGAGTCACATGAAGTTTGATCCATGAGCTTGAAAAATACAGCAGTCCAAAAAACCATTTGAGTTATATTTTTCCAAAAAAATCAGACACTAACCATGCTGTTACCATTATTTGAAGATCCTCTTCTTGACATACCCTAAGGACAAAAATAAGGAATAGCTGAAAGTAACTGCTTGTATTTAAATATGTTGGTGGCAGGAGTCATTTTTGGTCTTTAGCCTTTCTTCTTCATGTCTCATGGAATTCTTAAGAGTTTGGTATTCTTTGATAATAAGGAATAGAAATGAGATTTTTAAGGGAAAATTCCCACCATTCCATTCTATTACATATCTGAATTCAGAACACCCTAGCCCACGCCAAAATTAAGAATGACTTGTTTCACCCTTTACAGAAATATATCTAACACAGGGAAACACAAGATGCCCTAATAAGGATTTATAATTAGTCAGTAAAGGAACCTTCTCCAGAACCAGTATTTCATGGTATCTCTTTCAGTGGTAGCCCCTGAGATTTTTACACCCCAAGGCAGTGCACTTGAGGAAAGAGTGGGGTAGATAAGGGCTATGCCCTCCTTTTGCAAAGTGGAGAAACGTTGCTGTGCACGCAGGCCTATTCTCAGCAGATCCCTTTTAGGAAGAAGCACATATGGAAGTTGCAGAACTGCAGAATAGAGTTCTTTAACATGTCCATGCAAGTACCTCTTACAAAATCTGTTTCTTCTTTTTTGGAGACAGGGTCTCACTCTGTCACCCAAGCTGGAGTGCTGTGGCACCATCTCAGCTCATTACAACCTCTGCCTCCTGGGTTCAAGCAATCCTCCCACCTCAGCCTCCCAAGTAGCTGGGACTACAGGCAGGCAACATCACACCCAGCTAATTTGGCTTATTTTTTTGTAGAGAGTTTCACTGGGTTGCTCAGGCTGATCTTGAACTCCTGGCCTCAAGTGATCATTCTGCCTCGCCCTCCCAAAGCATTGGGATTACAGGAATGATCCACCATGCCTGGCCTCTGTTGTAAAATCTTGAGTGTCTCTACCCCACTTTGAAGATTACTGTCCCAAACTGAAACCAGACGTTGCTTACCCTGATTGAAGTTTTAAGTAGCAAAAAATTGTGAGTCTCAGAGGTCGCCTTTGGAAATCTGTAGGTTAATAGTGTCAATGCATGGATATATGGCTGTATCCAGCATATCTACACAGCAAATGAGATGTTATGTTGGGGGAAAATGAGTTTTTTAATTAAGTTTTTAATATTAAGCAGTTAGATAATTAAACAAATTTTACCCAAATAAAGCTTGTCATTTTTCTTTAGGTGAGGGAAACTTATTTTTAAAATGAAAACCTCAAAGGTAAAATAAATTTGTCTAACATGTACACTAAATATTTTTACTTATTTTGACAAGAAATGCGTTTTTGTTTCCTCCCTGTATTATAGGATATTCACCTTGCAAAACGTTTTTATGACATGGCAGCTGAAGCCAGCCCTGATGCACAAGTTCCAGTCTTCCTAGCCCTTTGCAAATTGGGCATTGTCTATTTCTTGCAGTACATACGGGAAACAAACGTAAGTGGTCCATGCCTCTTTTAATCAAAATATAAATGATGGAAGCTCTGTCCTGGAGGTTTGTATTTCAGAGGTTGAGAAGCACAGGGAAATGTGTCCTGCAAGTATCAGGTGGGTTCCCGTCTTCCCCTCAGCTCAGGTCCTAGAGGAGCTTACCAGGGGAGGGATAAATGCAGGCACAAAGCAGTTACTGCAGTTTTTAGGTAGCATTTGATACTTCGTAACGCTGAAGCATTTTTCATGGATGCAAATGTTTTCTGGTTTAGGAAAAACAGACAGATTAACGGCAGTTTGAAACAGTACTTAAATTCAGTAAACATTAAATCAGATGATCGCCTGGCAGTGGCTCAAACCAGTTCCTTAAAAAGAAAAAGAAAAAAAGAACTTGAGAACCTGCCCGGGTTGTTATATTTCAGATTCTTCTGATAGTGAAACATTAAGTTGAAAACACCACCCGAATTTTCTTCTCTAAAAATAGTTTGAATTATTTAAATAGGCTAATGGGAGAACCTAAATAGGAAGTGGTTACCTGTTTTCTTCAAAATTACCAACTTTAGTTGCCAGTACTGGTGTGTAGGTACTCTTGGATTCTGCCAGCTTTACATTTTGTTTCCAGTACTATAGTTCCTAGAATGGATTAAGTGGTGCAGCATTTGACTCTGAAAGCCCTAAGATGTTCAGAGACATTGTTTCTAACATGGGCTTATTCAGGACCAGAAAAGTTTATTCAGGACCAGAAAAGGATGATGTTTCACCCTTTTGTTAATGTCTTTCAGTATTACATTCAAGAACGGGCTTTCCCTCGTATGTGTCACAGGTATAAATGTAGTCCATGCTGCTCCATCATCAATAAAAAGAAATGGACTTGTCTAGTCCATGCAGCTGAAGTCCTCCCCAGATAGCTCTAGAGCACTGGTATGGGGCTCTGTCCTCCCAGTTGCTTATGCATGTATACTGTCAGTTGCTGTAATCGAATGGTAGCATGAGTCAAGTGTGCTGTAACCGCTGCCAGTTGAAACAATCTTTGTTTCTTTAATTAAAAAGCTGACCATGTGGCAGCCTACTGTTTCTCTCAGTACTATTTCAAACTCTTATCTCTCACAATTTTTATTACTAACTGTTGGTTATAGTCTAAGATTTCATCTTCCAGTACGATGTACTGGGTATATTATATCTCTATTTTTTTAATACAGAAGCATAAAGAAGACAGTAAAATGTCCCATAATCCTACCACCTAGCTATTCCAACTAAAAAGAAAAGGAGAGTCCAAGACTAATAAGTATCGATCGTAAGGAAGTCAAACAGTACAGAAGAACACAAATCTCCCGTCCCAGATTCTTCCCCAGAGAACACAATTAGTGGTTT